GGTGAGTGTTGTCCTCAATTAGAAACATGTTTTAAATGTTTAATTTTTTCAATTATAAATATCTAGCAAGATCGAAAAATAGTGAAAAATCGAAATATATAATATTTTCATAATATAAGCCAAAAGTGAAAAGAATTTATAACTATAAATTCTTCCGAAAGTGGAGATCGAATTGAGATATGGGTAACGTAATTGGCAACGCATCTGCCCGGAATGCGAGAGTTGAGGGTTTGAGTTCCGTTCCGGGCCGATTCTTTTCTTCCAGAAAATTCTGAATTAAATTATTTATTAAAATTAGCACGAAATGGAAAAACCTCTAATTAAATTATGTTACTTCAAATTATTAAATTAGTTTATTTTTAGCCAGAAAATAATCCGCCTGGTCGTTTGGCTTATATTATTATAGGCTAAATATTTTTTGAGTCTGCGTTGTTATATTAATGTTTTTGTAGTTATCTTAATCTTGTTTCGAAAATTCGTAATATTTGAGTTCAGTCATGGTGTTGAGTAATTAAATACATTGATCGTATGCCATTGATGACGTTTATTATACGGTTTTTCTCAAAAGTCATGGTGGAGTTTCGAAAGATTATTATGATCGAATAACATACGATAGAATCGTGAAATATGGCCACAAATAAAAGACAAACACCAAATTTTTTATCTCGATGTAACTTCCTATCATGATGACGAAATCACACAACATTACCAATGCTCAAGGGAAAATGAGGTGTCTTTGTAGCTAGCAAAATTTGATTATACCTAATCTGAAATTTGATTATACCTGCAATCTGAATACCTAATGTGTCTCACGAAAAACTGCCACATAAAAACATTCGTCATTGAGGTAGATTGCCGAAAGAAGGTGGGCGTGCAGAACGTGCACCACACATGGGCACCGTCGTCAAGGGAGACAACTGACATTTCTAATTGAGTTCCTATTTTGAATTACAAAAGGACAAAAATTGAACAAAACATTACGTTAAAAAAGTAAAATTGCGAGCTCCTATGATCCGCGTGATAATGTTTGCATCATAATATTTGTGTGGCTTTATAGTATTACTTAATCACTACAAAATGACTCTCGTTGCGAGTTTCTCCTCCGGAGAGGTATAAACGTGTTTGTACGAACTAGTATATAACAACGTTGCCAGACAATATACGAGACAATGTTATTAATACTAAAAGAAACGTGATTTTATTTTCCTTCAGATATTAAGACTGGAATGCATTGGTGCGTTTGTTATAAAATAATAATAATAATAATAATAATAATTTTTACAAGAAAAAGCATTTTCCAGCTAAACTATTCTATCCATATCGACTTTCGAGGATTAAAATACTAAGACATTAAAATTCTTGACGAAAAGTTTTTATTAGATTTTAAAACTTTAAAATATAATTTCCTAATGCGTTTTGCCTTGTGCGTTGAGGTCTCTTGGTGGAAAATACCGCCATGACTTTGGGATGGCACTTTATACCGTTTTAATACTTGAAACTTGGTATAAATTGAATGGTTTAGCTTGAGAAGGATTTTTTTTTGTAAAAATTTATATTCATATACATTATTTGAAAGATGATGAATCAAATGTATAAATGTGCAAAAGTTAGAATTTTATAATTAAAATTGCATATTTTAAAAAAATAAATCTTGTATGTCCTCTTTCTTGACTTGATAAAATAGAATTTGTAATTTATTATTATTACTGGATAAATGTTACAAAATATAAACTACATTAATCCAATACAAAATTTTTATTAAAGATTTATGTGGAACTACTGCCAATATTTCGTCATTTATATTTCATAAGAATTAATTTAAATATTAAGTGTGAATAATATATTGTTTGAATATTTATTTTTGTACCCTGTCGTATTTGAATTTTGTTATAAATAGCATATTTTAGAATGAAACATTGAAATTTTATGTATAGTTTTTGTAATTTGGATTTCTTTTTTATATTAATCATACTGTGTTAAGTTTTGGGTTTTAATGTAAATTTAAAATTATTAGAAATTTGTAAATAAAGTATATTTAAAATAATATACAAATCTATAAAAGAATAAGGTTTTTGTTCTTGAACATTTAACAGATATTCATATTGCATATCTTATTACTGATTATTAATAATTCTTATAAATAATAATCAGTAAACTTTATTCATTTGTAATTGATTAGTGTGGATAAGAATTCTATAAGAAGCATATTCTATGGAATTTACTGATAGTTCATTTCTTTCAAAATCTGAATATATTGTATTTTTATATAATGTCACAGATAACATAATGAAAAATTTGAAGAGAAATGTAGAGGTTAAAATTATCAAATGAAAAGATTCACAATGTCTTTATATTTGATATAATGTGATTGCAGTAATTGATAAT